ATTGTATCTCTGATGCTAAAGTCAGAACCATGTGGCAGAAGCTGCCAAGTTCTTCTGCTTGCTAGGGCTGGTACATGGCCCACTCCTTCAATTACATTTGTATCAGCCTTCTGTTGATGGTTTCCTCCACTACTTATGCTTTTCTTTAATTCCTTTTCAGAAGCTGGAAGCTTAGCTGGGTGAGGTCTTGTCCAGAGGTCAGCACTCCCTTTATTCCATTTAGCATGAGGATTTTCTCTAACTTTTTATCTCCTTGAGCACTAAACTTAGCTCCATTATACTTCCCAGTGTTCCTTTTCTTCTCAAACTGAGTACTTTGTGTCTCTTTGTCCAGCCTGCTCCCTTTTCATTATAGATCTACAGACTCTAATTACATGACGGTGAATACTACTAGACTGTCTTGAAATCTCCTCTGCCAAAACTCTTCAGGCACATTAATCTCAGGAACATTTTTTTGACAAGTGCAGAAAGCAGTAACATTCTTTGCCAAAATATACTAAGAATGGTCTCTAGGCCATGTTCTAATATTCTTCATGTAGAATATTCGGAATATCCTAATATTCTGAAACTTCTTAAACTGGGTACCACTGAGTCCAAACTGCCCTCAGTAGCACTGTCTTCCATGCTCCTACTAGGAATAAGTCCTGCTTAACGGGTCCAACTGCTTTTCTAGCCTAAAGACTTTGGAGTCTTCCATATTTCTCCAATAAACAGCATGATCGGGCCTGTCACAGTAATACACCATTTCCCCAGCACCAAAATCTGTATTAGTCAGGGAACAGAACTTATAAAATGAACACACACACACACACACACACACACACACACACACACACACACACACGAGATTAGAATGGCTTACAGGCTTACAGCTAGTCCAACAATGGCTGTCTACCAATGGAATCCAAGAATCAGTAGTCGTTCAGTCCATTGGGCTAGATGTTTCATCTGGTCTTCAGTACATGCTAATGCCAGGAAATGAATAGACTTACTATGGAGAGCAAACAGGCAAAGGAGAGCAGGCTTCCCCCTTCCATGTCATTTATATAGGCTGACAGCTGAAGGTGTGATCCAGATTAAAGGTGGATATTCCATCCCAAAAGATTTGGATTAAAGGTGTATCTTCCTATTTCAAATGATTTAATTAAGAAAAAAGGGTGGTACACATCTTTGATTCCAGCACTTAGGGAGGCAGAGGCAGGTGGATCTCTGTGAGTTTAAGGGAGGCTAGGCTGGTCTATACAGTGAGCTCTAGGAGAGCTGAGGCTACATAGAGAAACCCTGTCTCTAAAAAACAAAGAAAGACAGACAGATAAAAATTAAGAAAGAAAATCTCTTTTAGGTATACACAGCCTTTTGGGTTTTAGTTAATTCCATATGTAGTCAAGTTAACAACCAAGAATAGCTGTCAAAGATACCTTTGTCAAAAATTAAGAGATCATGTATGTAGGACAGAGGGCTAACTGAATGCCCCTCTTCAGAAGCCATCTACCTTGTTTTGTGAGACAGGGTTTCCAATTAGTCTGGGGTCTCCCAGTGCAGCAAGCCTCAGAGATCCTCCTGTTTTTACCTTCACAGTGCTAGGAAAGGAAGGCAGCAAAACTACTTGGCTTGCTCCCCCCTCCCCCACCAATATGGTTTCTTCAAGACTGTTTTGCTTTGTTTGTTTATTTCTGTGCTTCAACATAGAGATGGCTTAGTGGTTAAGAGCACTGACTATTCTTCCACAGGATCTGGTTCAATTCTCAGAACCCACAAGGCAGTTCAAAACTGCTTGTAACTCCAGTTCTAGGGGACCTGACACCTTCACACAGACATACATGCAGGCAAAATACAATGCTCATAAAATAAAAGTAAATAAATAAAATTAGTTGTTTTTTTTTTTTTTTTTTTGGCGTGTGTTTTAAAGAATGTCTGTCTTAGGGTTTCTATTGCTGTGAAGAGACACCATGATCACAGCAACTCTTATAAAGAAAAACATTTAATTGGGGCTGGCTTATAGGTTCATTATCTTAATGGCAGGAATCATGGTGGCAGGCAGGCAGACAGACATGGTGCTAGAGAGTTCTACACCTGGCTCAGCAGGATGAGAGAGTGACACTGGGCCTGGCTCAAGCATTTGAAACCCCAAAGCACACCCCCAGTGACATATTTCCTCCAACAAGGCTATACCTAATAGTGCCATTCACTATTGGGCCTATTAGGGCCATTTTCAAACTACTACAACTTCACTGGGATTTTTATGAAGATTGCACTGCATTTGTAAATTGTTTTTTTCTTTTTGTAGTATAGCTCTTTTCACACTAATTTTGCCAATCCACAGGTAAGGGAAATCTTTAGGTGTTTTAAAGTTTTTTCGGCTATTATGAATGGGGCTGTTTTCTCAATGTCTTACTGGTACATAGGAAGCTACTCTTGTTTGCTTTGTTTTAAACACTGGGTCTCACTATATAACCTGTAACTCACTGTGTAGACCAGGGTGGCCTCAAACCTGCAGAGATCTGCCTGCTCTGATATCCCATCACCTCCCCAGTGCTGGGATTAAAGGTGTGTGCCATCATGCCTAATCAGGTACTGATTTTTGTAAGTTGATTTCAGATTCTGCTACTTTGTTAAAAGCTCTGAATACTTTCTGGTGGAGTTCTTTTTAAGTAAAACATTTTAACTTTGACATCAGAGATAATGACTTCTTCCTTTCCTATCTGTATCCCTTTTATTTCTTTCCCTTGTATAGTTCTGGCTAAGACTTCTAGCATGAATAGAATAGGCACCTTTGCATTTTTCCTAATTTAAAAAATAGTTTTGGTCTTTGAGATAGGTAGCCCTAGCTAGCCTATAACTCACTAAGTAGCTCAAGCTGGCCTCTAACTTATAGTATCTTCCAGAGTGCTCCTATTACAGGCATGAACTTCCATGATTGTCTTCCTGCTTCACTTCCTTAACCATGGGTCTCAGTTCTTTGGGCACAGATCCTTTAGAGCACTAGGTAATTCTTTGTGTCACTTCCAGCAGAAAGGGCCAGCCTGTTAACAGCAGTAAAAAGGTATGTCTCCTGCTGCTGCCCAGTATAGTGAAACAAGACTTTTTTTTTTTTTTTTAAAGTGTGTGTTTCTCTAAGGGTAACCCTCAATACGTGTAGGTATCCACTTGGGTTCTATGTCACCCTGTGAGTTCAAGGAACAAGCTAACACTCATGTTGCTTGCAGTACTATGAAGAATAACCCTTTTCTTCTCTTATCTAGGAATCTTTTATCTTCTGCCAGCCTCTATGAAACAAAGTAAAAACCTAACCTATTATATGTAAATGACATAAAATCAACTCCCAGATCTGACAATTTGATAATGAAAATTGGATGCTGAAAGAAACATATGGAAGAGGCCGTGTAACAGGCCCCTAGACCTTAGTAGGCCCCAGACTGTAGCACAACAGATACTGCATTAGACACACTATTCAGGCCTTGAAACCCAGCAGGAGGCTGCAACACCTGTCAAAACAGGAACAAAGGCTGTCAATAATTAAAGCTACTCTTCTTTAGGTTTATGAACGATGGAAATTGGACTAGAAAGACATGGAAACGACTAGAAATTCATTACTAATCAAGTATGCACCATCCAGATAGCTGCTGTTGCTGCCACAACCCATACTCATATATCAAACAGGGCAACACATCTACCAATATGGCCTGGCACAAACAAAATGCTGATGTGTTTTATGCTGAAGCTACTATTGCTTGCCAACCTTGTACCTCAAAAGTTACCCTGTAAGGTAGAGATGCAACTCAGTGACAGAACACCACCAAGTGAAAGACTCCAGGTTTGATCCTCAGCACCACTGTCTTCCCTTTATACCCACTCATAAACCCAATCATGCTTTTACCTATTATCTGTGTTGAGTTTATCCCCAATCTTGGTTGCCCCCATCTCTCTTAGAGTCAATATTATATCACATTTGTTTGCTTGAAACTTCTACCTGCTGTTGTAGTTTATTTTGCCCCTAAGATATTTCTTCTTCCACAGGTTCATCCCACTCTCTCCTCCCAGTTGATCAAAACTTAAAATTTTAGGATAACTTCTGATTCTTCTCATTCTTTGGTGTCTGTATGCCAAGATTATTACCACATGCCAGAGTTAGAGAGTTCTCTAAGGTAGTGCTAGTCAAGGTGCTGGTCAGGGAGGAGGGAGAAGGCAGGGCCTGAACCAAGCAGTCTCTTTCATATAGTCTCATCTGCAGGACTTCTGTGCTTTGGGCACAGTTGAATGCTACCCTGACAAAACATTTTTGCTTTGTTACAAACTAGAAACAGCTTCACCACTGTTGGTTTCAGGCTTTAGTTCCTTCCCAAAGGGTTACAAACTCTAAACTAAATGACAAAATGGGCCCTTACAAGAGGAACAATACCTAGTTATGACAGTGCAAATCATGTGCTCATACTTATGCTATATTTCCAAGTTTCCAATACATTTTCTTGACTGTTATTTATATCCTTCCCACTAAATACTGTTTTAAGTTTTGTCCACACAGTCAAGTATGGCAGTGCATACCTGCAATCCCAGCACTCTGCCAGCACAGGCAGGATGGATCTGAGTTCAGGGTCATCCTCTGCCACATAGTGAATTTGGGGCCAGCCTTTGCTACATGAGATCCTGTCTCAAAACAAAAGGGTTAGGGATGTAACTGGGTTGGTATTCTGTTTGTCTAGTACCCAGGAGGCTTAGGTAACATCTGAGCATCCAGGAAACGGAAGTAGAAGCATTAGACTTTAGGGTTATCCTTGACTACACAGAGGCCACCATAGGCGACATGACACTGTCTCAAGGGGAAAAAATAGGAATGAAGCAATACAGAAAAGAACACTGGAACCTAGGCCAGAAGTAGCATCGCTCATGTAACGTTGGATGCATCAATGGAACCGAAGTGTCTTTGCAGTTTCCCCTCCTAACCTTTTTTTTAAATTTATTTTTTATTGAAACAATAACAATGAAACCGGCCCGTAACTCACTATATAGCTGAGAAGGGCCTTGAACTTTTGATCCTTCTTCACCTCTCAAGTAGTGTTTGCCACAATGGCCAGTGTCTGTCCTAAGGGCTTTCTTGATATGTTAAAATGATTCTCACAAAGATTCCTTGAGATAGGTACTATTACATGAATTTTTAAGATTGTACTTATTTGCTTTGGCAGCGTTTCACATTACAACCCCACTGGCCTCGAATTCGTGGCAATCTTCCTGTTTCAGTTCACACAGAGCTGGGATTACTGGCCTGAACTGCCACGGCCTGCTGGACTTTAGAAAGCGTTCCTGCTCCGGGAGAGATTCTGTTACTGTGCGTGGTCCCCGAGCTGGCGAGGCGCGCCGGCATCAGCGGAGGTCTGTGCAGCCCACAGGGCTCGCTTCCGTCCTGCTCGGCGCCCCTCGGAGCCCGGCCCTCGGGGGGAGCCGCCCGCCCCGCGGTGCACCACGGTCCCACCGGGCTGAGGCCTGGGAGCCGGAGGGCCGCGGAGCAGGTGAGGGGAAGGGCTGGGGGCTGGCGCGGACGCGAAGGGGGGCGGGCGGGGCCGACTCACAGTTCCACGAGCTGACTGACTAGTCGCGACGAGGGCATCGCGGCCGCCCTCCGAAGCCCGGACCGCAGTCCGCGGCCGCCACCGCCAGCTTCCGGCCGCGCGGCGCCCGGGAGCCCAGATGACGTCACACGGCGCCGGGCCTGGGCGTGGCCACGTTCGAGGGGGGGCGGCCGCGCGCTCGGGGGCGGAGCTTGTGGGGCTGCGCGGGTCAGCCGGGGCCACGCGGTTACTGCTTCTCCCGCCCGCCGCACCGCCTGCAGCCGCCGTCCGAGGACCGCCGCCGGCTTGTCGTTACTTTCGCCGGGCTCCAGGATGCACACTAGTCAGACTCTAGTCAGGTACGAGGCCACTGACTTCAAACACTGTTTACAAGCTGGCAGTGGAATGGGACATGTTCATATAGTCCCGCTAAACTGAAATTTTGTTAATAGTCACCTGTTTTGTTTTGTTGTTGTTCTGTTTTTGTTTTTTGAGGTTTCCTGGACTCGCTTTGTAGACCAGGCTGCCCTTGAACTTGAAGAGATATGCCTGCATCTGCCTCCTATCTGCATGCGCCACCACAACCAGCTTTTGAAGTAAGCGTTAAATAAACTTTCACCTTAACTGAGATCGGTGTCCGAGTGGCAGTGCGTTCTAGTCTTGGACCCCAACAGTACCAACACATACACTCAGTGAGAATGACATTGTGGAGGAGAGCAGGTCTTCAAAAAGGACACTGAAGAGGCCTGGTTCCCCCAGGTTAGATTCTCTCGTTATGGCTCTGCTGTACAATACTTGTGGCTTTTAAATGCTATTTTTTCATTCTTTCTTGCAGAGTAATTTATTGGTTCTATGTCAAAGTTTTGTAACTCCTTGAATGTTGAGATCATTACAGCTACCTCTTCAGAATGCTACTCAGAACACATTTATTTTCGTGATCGTGAGGCTCAAATTCAGGGCACAACCACACAGGAACACACATTGGATCGGGTTGGGTGCTGAGGGTTCAGAGGTGTACACTTCTCTTAGACAAATAAAAGCGCCATTAGCGCTTTTAGGAGGAGCTAATTCAGCGGGAGCACCAGTCGTGTATGTGCAGGGTAGAGTTCAGAGGCGGAAAGCTGCGCTGGAGTTGCTGCTTCATGGTTTCCTCCCATTTCTTGGCAAAGATGACAACCAGTGGACTAGAGAAGAAAGGAAGAGGAGCAGATAAAATCACTGAATGTCTTAACTTTCAGACTGCTTTTATGAAGGAGAAAGTAGTTTGTAGAAGAGATGTTGGGTTGGAAATACTGCACTGTCCTAGGTGGTGATGGTGAACGCCTTTATCCTGGCTGTTGGGAGGAAGAGGCAGGCAGATCTCCAAGTTTGAGGCCAGCCTGGTCTACAGAGTGAGATTCAGGACAGCCAGGGCTACACAGAGAAACCCTGTCTCAACAAAACATAATAATAATAACAATAATAGAAAGAGAAGATAATGTACTAAACAAACAAAGAGCAAGCTCTAATTCAAGCAAACATTCTGCACTTATTCTTAGCCAAAGGCTGAGAAGCGATCAAGCAAACATTCCGTAAGGGTCTGAGAATCACTTAAGAAAAATCCCAAACTCAAGTAGTATGCAAAAGCAGAGAGGGTTTATTTTGCAGAAACTCCAGCATGCAGGGATTGACACCCTTTTTCAAAATGGTGACCCTGAGGTGAGCATGCAAGCTCAATTTAAAGGCAAGTAGTGCAATTTCCAGAGGGGCTGAAGTAACCTTTAATTTGGTTGGTTGGAAGTGACTCCGAGGGACAGAGTGGAAATTTAGGGTTAGCTAATACTTGGGGACTTCCCAGAGTTGCTAGGGACTTTTTGCTGAGTCACTGTGCTTGGCTCAAGTTCATGTGTTAACCTTTAAGCTGATTGGCTGCCTTCAAACTGGTGGTTTTACAGGAATTGTTTTCTATGTTCCAAGAAACTGAAACTTAGGCATAGTCAAGCAAAGTTGAATGAAGTCTGTCATGGAGTCAGGTTAGCCAAGCAGATTGGGGCCTTCTGAGGAGTTTCTCAGGGACTTTGGGGTTATTAGACCTTTCAATTCAAAATAGAGTAAAACAAATGCTTTCTCATCTAGTATTCCACTGCAAGCTAATTCTACAGATTCTGAAATGTGTGACCTACCAATAACAGCTGCCTGTTCTGACAAAAAAGGAGGTAAGAAATGAAGGTGAAAGAACAGTGGAAAGAACTGGGGAAAAGGAAAATAGCTGTTCTTAGCAGGAGGTGCGCACTCAGTGGATAGATGTATCCTGCCTGGCTCTTTGAATTGGTTACATTGTAACTGCCAAAAACACCTTCACGAAAATTATTTGCATGTAGAAATGGATGTTGAGAAACTGTCCCAAGAGCAGTTGGGACAGTGAATCTTGATCCTCTTGAACAGATACAAGAGCAGGTGGTGATTTTACTTTGTAACCAGAAACCTGCAAATATAAGAAAGTGCTGTTTCAGGCAATCATGGGTTGTACTAGTTTACCAGAAAACGCAGAAATTTAAAGTGTTTCTGGAGACTGTTCTTATTATTGATGATGACAGCAGGGTCTCATGTACCCTAGGCTATCCTCACACTTGTTACTTAACCAGGGATGATCTTAAACTTTCTGATCTTCCATTTTCTGAGTGCTGGGATTATAGCCTTGTGCCACCTTGTCTAGTTTATGCTGTCCTGTGGATCAAACCAAGGCCTACACCACTAAGAAAGCAATATACTAAGATGTAGTCCCAGCTCTCCGAATCACGTTTTAGTGCTTTGCCTGAAGTTCGTAACAAATTTCTGAATCTATGCTGTGTACAGGCATGGCTGTTCATCTTCTAGTAACCTATAATCCCAGTGCTTGGGAGGCTGAGGCAGGAGAATTACCATTAATTTGAGGCTAGGTTGGGCTACATAGTCCATTGCCAGTGTGAGCAATATATGGAGATCTTAGCTCAAGAGAGAAAGGGGATTGCTTATTTCAGGAATTTTTTTTCATTTTTTACATTTTAGGACAGTTGCTGAAAGCATAAACTCAAGAATAGGCCTAAACCAACAACAACAAAAATCATGGTATACCTTCAGCCATAGTGATTGGTTCTATAACTGGCATGTGGACAAGGGACTCATTTTGAAACTATTTACATTTTGGTAGAGATTTTTGGGAAAGAAGCTTCCATAAACTGGTATTTCCAAGTTTTTTTGCTGACTGTGGATGTATCCAACCTTTTAATGGTATCCAAATAGAACAGAATGAGCGTGAACTCTGGCAGATCTTTTATTTGGGAAAGTGCTTCTTCTACCAGACCCACACTGAGAGGAGAACTGTTGCTCAAGGAGCAGACATACTGTTCATTGCTGCTGAGGGAAATCTGGAGGACGTTCCAGTTCCCATGGAGGGAGCTGGAAGGGCTCCACTCCTTTTGGAACCTGTACGACTTGTGCCCTGTTAGGGGCTGGCCAAGTCCTAGTTTTTGGATATTCTGGTTGCTCGAACAGCCATATTTCCAAGTATGCAGAACATGATCTCATGAATCCTTAAATGAGTCTAGGGTATTATCCTATTTTATAGATGATAGTTGTACAAACTACCAAATGAAAATGTAATGCCCAGTTCACAAGACCCCAAAGACCACCAGGAATCGACTCTGATGCATGCGCAGGAGGGTTTACTATACAAGCTCGAGCTTGTGCAACAAATCTCCCTGACTTAGCAGGAGAGGAATGCAGCCCCCGAAGGGGCCTAGCTTGAGAACAACCAAGAAAACTGGGAACTTTCCACTAATTGCCAAGTGCAGAGTACACCCTGTTCCCTCTGCCACCCCCTCCCTGGGGACTCAGACCTCACAGACAGTTGCCGGAAACACCCCAAGGACACAGATGGGGCAGGCAGTCCTTAGAAAAACCGAAACTCCAGCGACTTGACCCTGACCACACTGGCCACCCACCCTACTGGGAATGTCCCAAGCACATAGCCAGACCTCAAATATCCCCTGATTCTAAGCAGCCAATTATTTTAAAATATCCACCAATATCCAACTGCCCTGTTGCTATTTTCAGTTTGCCTATGCCTAAATGTATAAAACCCCAAAGCTTTTGTTCCTAGGAGTCACCTCTCCTTATGGTGCAGGATGACCCCAGCAGGTTGGTTTCAATAAACTTCTTGCTGTTTGCATCAATCCTGGTCTCTGTGCCTCACTCAAGGACCTTCCGGGTAGCATAGGACTCCCCTAAGTCTTACGTTTGGTTTCCTGCCTGGGAATTGAAGTCCCCCGAGAGGGTAAATGGTTGCCGAGCAGACATACTGTTCATTGCTGCTGAGGGAAATCTGGAGGACGTTCCAGTTCCCGTGGAGGGAGCTGGAAGGGCTCCACTCCTTTTGGAACCTGCACGACTTGTGCCCTGTTAGGGGCTGGCCAAGTCCTAGTTTTTTGATATTCTGGTTGCTCGAACAGTGGTAGTGTCGGATTTCTGTGTTTCTTGCTTGTTTGTTTCTCTGTGGCTATTTTTTTCTTTGTGGACTTAGACTGACAAAAGTTTTGGACATGGAACAGTCTGAATTGACACCTTTGAGTTTGGTCATGGATTACTGGAGTGAGGTTAGAACCAGAGCTCACAATTTATCCATTATAGTTAAGAAAGGGAGAATGGATACTCTTTGTTCTGTTGACTGACCCTCCTTTGACGTAGGCTGGCCAGCCACAGGAACTTTTAGCCTAGAAACCATCATGACAGTGTAAAGAAAAATTTTTGGAATAGGGTCTGCTGGTCATCCTGACCAGGTTCCCTTTATTGTTATCTGGAAAGAACTCATTACTGACTCTCCCCTCCCCCCCCTTCTTGGGTCAGGCCTTTTCTCTCTCCTCCCTCACAGATCTTAACAGTCTGAGAAGAAAAGAATAAAACCAAAAAGGTCTTGCAGGATTCTTCGACTACTGACCTCC